CAGCTGTCCTTGCTAGTGGTTATGTGTACTGATGATTTTGGGAAAGGTGGTCCAGAAAACTAACTCTACCATGCTCTGTTTCTGTTGCATCTTGGCTTGTCATGTGAGAGGAATCTGGGAAAGTCACAGAGCAAAAAATTGCAACCGTTGATACTATGAAGGTCATAAGACTTGGTTCTGATCACCAAACTTCATGCTCACTTACATATTAGATTAATATAGACAGTTCATGCTGATGTTGGAGTAATCCAAGCCAGACTTCTTAGAATTAAAATAAACTGCAAAAGAATTTGCCTCTAGCAAATGGTTTCTCTCATTACTGTCATCCACCATCTGTTTCAGCCATATGGTAGTACTATTGGGTGCCTGAGACTCATTTCACAGTCATAAGACATCAATGCTTGATAACATAAGTGTTCTCTTTCAACCAGGCTATGAAGGAGATGGGAGAGTGTGCAACCAAGTTGATATTTGCTCAGTAAACAACGGAGGATGCCATCCACTTGCTTCATGTAGCAGCACCTCAGGTAAAACCATTTCTTAGATATATATACAGTGGTGCCTCGCAAGACGGGCACTCCATTTAACGACGAATCTGCATTACGATGAGGTTTTTGCAACTGCAAAAGCGAGTATGTTCATAGTAATTAGGAATGTGTTTTACAACAGAAGTGAGGTGATTTTTGGCCAAAGAACAAAAGTAAGGGCTGGCTATCTTGCCACCTGAGGCCAAGGACAAGATGAGATGAGAGTTTTGTATCATTCCCTGTACAGACGTTGCCCAGACTGGCAATTGAATCTCACTTCAACATCAGCAATGGGCCAGTCCTTTCCACTTCCTCTGGGGGCAGGAGGAAAGCCTGTCTGGAGACATTTCATTAGTTGGTGCTCCCTCCCTAGTTTAGCACATGACTCTTTCTTTCATAATTACAACGGGATGGCATCATGGGCTGTTTATGATCAGAGCAGGAGAAGATTTCCCCAAAGTTTAATGTATACAAGGTTTGCTGTAAGGACAGCATCCCCCTTCTGAAAGCAGCTGGGTAGCTGAGGAGGCACAGAACTGGCAGCATGATGCACAGATTTATCTTCAAACTCCTTGCTGCCAACTCCCAGGAGCAACCATCCTTATAAGATGAATGGCTGAGTCTCCATAATGGTAGAACCTGCTCTGGCAGCAGACTAAATCAGACAGCCAAAGCACACACCTCTGTTCTCCAAAAGCTTGCTACTGCTTCTTACTCCCAGGACTTTCCATGTGAAGTAGTCACTACATTCTGACTAATGATAAGGCCACACTGCAGATCTGATTCCCAAGTGACTTTCTTTTCAGTGTGAGGTAATGGTTAGACTTTTAAATGAGGAATTGGGAATGGGGAGATCCCGATTCAAATCCTCACTTAGTGACCAAACTCACTGAGAGAGTACTCTTGACCTGTTTGCTGTCTCTGTGTCTACTATCCCCCCCAGAATATGAGGATCCAATATGGCACAGGAGTAAGACAATTTATGCCACTTTGATATCCTTGGAAGGTGCACAAACAGCATCTACCATCTAAGGCAGTTTTCTCCTTCTGCCTTATGGTAGGACCAGTACTATTCAAACCATGAATACAAAATTGTGATGATATTCATCACTTTGATTACTTTTGCTTCTCTTTTGCAGGCCCTATACCAACATGTGTCTGCCCAGCTGGGTATACTGGGAATGGATATGGCTCAATCGGATGTGTTGCCCTGAGCAATATCTGCCAAACACAGAACCCTTGTATCAATGGAATGTGCCTTGTAAGTGTTTGATTCCTTGTTTGTTGGTTTTTAATCTAGATATTTGTTTGGCTTTTACTTGAAATATTCAAATTTGACAGGGTCCAGATGCCTTCCAAGACTATATAAATTTACATACAGATTTAAAATAGAATATTCACAGATTTCTACATTAGCAGTGAAGTTCTGTGTATGTTTAATCAGAAGTAAAACCTATTGTATTCTAGGGATTTACTTCCAAGTAAGAGTGCATGGAGTTGCAGGTGCCTAATTTTTCATGCAAGAACTGAAGGCTGGATCACTAAAAGTTAATAGGACTTAATATAGAAAAAGGGATCCAGATGTTGATGCACTGCAATTCTCATCATCCCTGACAATTGACCATACTGGATGGGGCTGGTGAGAATTGGAGGCAATCCATATTTCCCCACCTTTGGCTTATGGGATGCTGAAGCGTGATTAAAATCAACCTTTGCTTTTCATGCTAAACATCCTTCAGAGAGAAATAATACGTGAGACTTGGTGCAGTGCTTATGAACAGAATCCATTTCTAAAGCCTAAGACACTTAAAAGAATACAGTAGTAGTATTTTTACTCAAAAGTGTAGTCACTCTCTTACTCTGTGTGAACAGCTATGGACTAAACTGGATGTAGCTCTGGCTTTTGCCAGACTAGAATCAGTTGTGTATAAGGTTAGTTTGCAGTGGGCTTCCACCAGCCAAATGTAAACTGAATTTAGCCCAGAAAACCAGCTTGCAGAGTCTTCACAAGGGATGTTGCTTCATGAGGTACAGAAGACAGTGGAGTCGTCCCCCGCTCACCCTCAAATCAAAATGCATAGTATCCAGCACAAACCAAGGCATTTTTGCAGCTAAGGCTAGAAATCCCATACTACTCTTCTCCTCCTCAGTAATAAAACTCAAAAAATTAAAAAAATAAAATATGCTTCCTGAATCAGCTGCTTCATTCCACCTAGTGACAGGGTCAGTCATGACAACTCTACCTAGCAGACACCACTGGCTGGTTTATGTTAGTAGGTGGCTTATGTGCGCTGGTTTCCTTTTTGTTTGGATGGGTGTCTGCAGGCTACAGTTGCCGGCTACCACTGTGTGTGTAATTCTGGCTGGACCGGTGTCAACTGTTCAGACAACATTGATGAGTGTGCCAGTAATCCTTGTCAGCATGGAGGAACCTGCACTGATGGGGAGAACAGCTACTCTTGTGAGTGTACAGACACTTGGACCGGACCTCAGTGTGAGACACCCCAACAAGGTAAATGAACAACAAATGGTTAAAGCATCTAGAGACTCCCTACAGGTGATTCTACCAGCAGGCTGTAAGCTCCCTGGAGGAGCAAGCTGTGCTTATCTGTTCCCTCATTCCCTGCACTGCTTCTACTATCACTGGTGGCCAGAGGCTAGTGCTGTTATCAGTTCTGTAGGGATAAAGCAACATGTTGGGGGTGGGTGGGCAGGGTAGAATTCCAGCTGGTTTTGTAAAGCACCCAAAACATTTTCTTGAGGCAAAGACATGGTCCCCTCTCTGCTTCACCTACAGACGTTGACCAGCATAGCAGCTGAATCATACTATAACAATAGTGGTAGTCAAGGTTCTCTACCCACATCTGTGGACAACAGGATAATAGAGGGGTGCAGTGATGTGGTGTGTGTTGTTCTGTGTTCACTGATCCTCCCCTGCTCTTCAGTCTTTGCTGCCACCTCACTCGTCCTAATGAGCGGGCCGCCCCTTTTGCAGACACTCACTTGATCTTTCATCCTTAGCGAATTGAAACGAGTTTCAAGATGGAGCTGCTTTTGGACTCTGGCTGTCTGTTTGCTTCCTTCACTCTCTGTTTCATGTCTAGAATATTGGGGGAAGAGAGAGATTGCTTTTTTAAAAATTCTTTTTGTGTAGCTTTTCTGAGCTCTAGTCAGGACCCTGTCCCATTAAGCAAAAGATGCAAGAAGAGCTGGAATGGTTATCTCTCCTCAGAAACCACTTGACAAAAATATCTGCTTTCTTAAGTTCTTCAAGTTTGCTTCAGTCAATCAAATTACATACATTGTGTTCACAACCATCAGAATACTGTTGGTCTTAATGTATTTATGCTTCCCCACACTTGCAGCTTGTGGAGGGACACTTTCAGGCCTCTCAGGCTCTTTCCACTATCCTACCAACCCAGGCATTGAACTGCATAGCCAAGAGGTCACCTGTAACTGGATTATCCGGACTAGTTATAACAAGGTAAGAACTGAAAGGAAGTAACAATGAAAATGAAATTAAAATCTTATGGAAAGTTTAAACAGGCAACCTACAGGGAAGACAGTGAAAGGTATGGATGGAATCACTGAATGGTCATTCACAAAAAGTTACATAGTCCACAAATTGGAGATGTTCATTAAAAATGAGATTAATGCCAACACTGATTTTCCAGCATCCCCCAAATCTGGAAATTTTGCCATAGGTTTAGGTCTGCACGCTTTTCGTGTGTATGTACTTAGGATGCACAGATTTGGAGTGTTTGAATATAGCTTTAGTATCCTGCATATAGGGAAGAAAGGATTTGAACGCATGTTTCCAAAGATGAATATTCTAACAACCAAACAATACTGCAAACACAATGGCTGAAATCCTGTTGCAGAGGTCTGCATGCCCAGTGGGAATGATGCCATCATTAGTGGCAAATCACTGATGACTGAAGGCTTCCTTTTGTGATTTTGGGGTGCACGGGACTCCTGCACCATACAATAAACTTTTGCATGCCCTGAAATTGTCACCTAAAGTTTTTAACCAGCAGTGACTTGCCACGGCTGATGACATGATTGCCACTGCACACATGGAGCTGTGCATGAGGATTACAGCCATTATTCCTCAAGACTTTTCAACATTCAGTTATCACACCCTTCTTAAGAATACTGATGTGAAATAATAAGAAGTCCCCAATAGCTATCAGTTTATTGAAATGATTAGGAGTGCCTGGAGTCAGAGGCTCTGCTCAGCTTTTACATTTAAGGATTTCACTTTATCTTTCCCCCCTTCCCTTGACCTTCAGCATTAGCTAATGCTTCTGCCTCTTCTGAAGTTTCCCAGGCAATTATAGAGCATCTGCACATTTTCCGGCAAACATATGACTGTGTAGACAGGTGTGTTATCTAATCTGCCCAGGGGTACTATATAAACAATATCTAATCATTCTTCAGTGAGGAGTCTTATCCTGCAGAGATGAAATCCAAGCAAATTAAATGGGTCTCTGTTCTTTCCCCTCAGATCCTGCGTATCACTTTTCCATTCCTCCAGCTGGAGGAAACTGTCAGCTGCAGGTCTGATTTTCTCCAGATTCATGATGGAGAGTCACCGACAGCAATCATGCTGGGAAAATACTGTGGCTCGTCTCACCCCGAAGAGCTTTTCAGCAGTCACAACTCTCTGTATTTCCTTTTCCATTCTGACCGCATAACCAATGGAAAAGGGTTTACAGTTCATTGGGAATCTCAAGAACCTGGTAAGAATACTTATATGAAAAGCCAGCAACACTATTAGATAGAATGAGAAGACACCCTCAGATTCCATTTTGTCCCACCTTATCATCAGCAAAGAGACTTGGGCCAGTCCTGACTCTAAGGATTTTCTCCTTTAAACACTGACTTGATTTCTGGCTCCATTTCAAAGCATCAAGAGCAGAACTACATACATTTGGACTAGTAAATAAAGCAGAGTTAAATATAATTACGCCATATTAGAGAGGCTTCACATATTACACATTTCCTCCTCAAAAATGTTTCCATGCAAGAAACAGTACGAAACATATTTGGTGTTTGTCATATGAGACAACACTGCATTTTAACCTATGGATATATATCAGATATTCATGTAGTAATTAGGGACAGAAAAGGAATTTCCAATAACCAATTTAGATAAGTCATTGTCTGTGAAATCTTTAATGAAAGTTATATTTCATTTTTTCATTGTGAGAGAGAAACAGCAAGTGACAGCTCAGATAAGAATTGCTGATAATGAGAAATATTAAAGGGAGAAAATATATTGTGTCCTTGGGGCCATGATGGGATTTGAATGCCTCTGTCTTTGCAGTGCCCCAGTTCCTATTCAATCCTGCCTAAACCCTAAGCATCATTCTATCTGTCTCCTCCCCTTACCTGTTGCCCAGAGACAGGTAAGGCTGTATGTCTCCATGAGGCCTGAAATGTCAAAAGTCAGCAGCTGAAGAGTTGAGCACCCCTGAAGTGTGCAATTTCCTTAGTGATCTCAACACTCACAAAGAAATTTTGGTGCTCTGGGAAATTTAAGTTCCCCAGTTAAATGGGCTGTTCAGATGAATAGTTCATAGGAAGTGGGCTGTGGAGAAATAATTAGTAAAATAGCGTTTCCTTTTCTCTTCTTAGAATGTGGTGGAGAACTGAATGATGCTTATGGCTCAATTAATTCACCGGGGTACCCTGGCAACTACCCTCCCAACAGGGATTGTTACTGGAAGCTCTCAACCAATCCTGGCCTCCTCATCACTTTTGCCTTTGGTACACTGAGCCTTGAACACCATGATAATTGCAGCAAGGACTACCTGGAGGTAAAATCTGTTTGAAAGTAAAGCAGTGATCTTGCAGTGTCCAGGTTTGTGTAACACACACAGTGTTATATCCTGGATGTGTTTGTGGCTGTTTTAGCCTGTTACAGCAGACAAAGACTCTTGTGATACCTTAAAGATTGTCCAAGTTTTATTTAGCATAACTTTTTGTAGATTGTGCTCACTTGTTCAGAGGCGAAGAGCAGCATCTTTGCACACTATCAGGTGCAAAAAGATGATCCTTCCAGTCCACAAACTGAAGGTGCCAATACTACCCCCTCCCCCTCCCCTTCCTCATCTTAGAACCGCAGAGTTGGAAGGGACCCTATGGATCATCAAGTCCAACTCCTTTCAAAGAAGCAGTGGGGAACTAAACTCCCAACCTCTGGCTCTGCAGCCAGGTACGTAAACCACTGAGCTATTAATCTCGTCCCATGCATGTGGTCCCAAGAGAGCAAAATAAACTACAGTTGTGCCCTGCTTAACGATTACCCTGTATAATGATGAATCCACTTCACAACAATGTTTTTGTGATCGCAATTGTGATCGCAAAACAATGTTTTAATGGGTTTTTTCGCTTTGTCACGATTGGTTCCCTGCTTTGGGAACCAATTCTTCGCATTACGACGATCAAAACAGCTGATCGTCGGGTTTTCAAAATGGCTGTCGGCTGCTCAAAATGGCTCCCTGCTGTGCTTTTGGATGGATTCCTCGCTTTACAGGAAGCGAAAATGGCCGCTCCTATGGAGGATCTTTGCTGGATGGTGAGTTATTCAGCCCATTGGAACGCATTGAATGAGTTTCAATGCATTTCAATGGGCTTTTTTATTTCGCTTCATGATGTTTTCGCTCTACAGCGATTTCGCTAGAACGAATTAACATTGTCAAGCAAGGCACCACTGTATGTATATAGCATTACAAATACTGGATCCATTTGCAGGAATCCTGCCACCTACTGCATCTGCTTACACAGCCACACTTTTTGCGCATGCAGGGGAGGGCCTGCATGTGTCTCATTCTTTCTGGGTCAGCAGAAAAAAAAACTAAAGAAATTAAAAAGAGATAAAACAATATACCTTACCAAACAAATGCTGTAGCAAATACCAGTTAGAATTGTACTGATGATTTAAATTTGTGCAAAAGGAAATTGCATAAAGAGCAACAGGAAATTTGCTGCTCATTAACAAAGTGCTGGTTGCTAGGCATACACCATGATCAGGCACGCGTCCAGGGACACAACTAGCACTTTGTTAATGAGTTGCAATTTTCTGCCACAGTTTACATGATTTCCCTCATGTCAGTAAAATACTGTAGCTAGTAGGATTCTGGCCAGAAAATGAGCCTGTAAGACAAAAAACAAACCAACACAACAACACAACACCAACCCACAACACCAAATGTCTCTTATTTTCATTATGTCATTTCCCACACAAGCCTTCCTTGTTCATCTAGTCATGAATCAATTTGGTAAGAAAAGCTTTAGGAAGTTGCTAATTCTGTTCCTAATCTCCCTCCCATGCCTTTCTGCAGATGATATTTTCTGGCAATTACCCATGCAAGTAATTCTCTTCCTTGGATGATGTCCATGGGAATTCACATGTCAATAGATTATATGCCGAGCTTGTCCATGTTCTCTGGGAGATTCCAGCCATTGCGGTGCAAAACTATAATTTCTGAAATTTAAGTTATACATGTGTTTCTCATGAACTTGTCTGTGAATTACATCCAGAGAGTCAGAGAAAACACATCCAAAAAGAACAAGCATGTGTAGCTATGTGTACAGATAACAGTATTCAGAAATTCTGAATCCCACACATAGCAAAACCAAAATAGGGGATGGCAATGGTGGGAGTGCCTTTCAAAATATTTCAAGAGGAACTCTGAGGCCCCGCTTTCAAATCAAGCCATGGTCACACCAACAAAATGTTTTCTAGTTCTCCCTTTTTGATTTTGCAATTTAAATTTGTGGTCACATGATGCCCAACTATTAGCAAATCATTTACCTTGCAAGCATACTAACTGTGGATCATTTCTCGCTCAGCCAGAAGCTTCTACTTTTTTTTTGTTGTGGATCTTTGTTTCAAAAAAAATTGCGTTGCTGCATGTTTGAATGATCGTATCTCAACATTTTTGAACTGCTGTCACCATGCATGTCCTTTTAAAATATTTGTAATTTTTTTTAAAAAATGTCCATGTTGTTTGTGTCAATGTATCAGTTGACTTCTGTCAAACGGTCTCAGCAAGAAGCTTTAGGTGCTTGTTGAATTGGAAGGAAATAACTTGGTAACCCCAAAACACATTGGGATGCACATCCTGAAATAAATACCACATGATCTCAAAGCACAACAGGAATGTGGATTAAAAGCTGCGTAACCACAGGGGAATATTTCACTGGTGTGACCACAGCTTCTGTTTTCCAGTAAAAACCAACAGGGTCTTGGCCACCTACACAGAGCAAATCAGAGTGGAGCCAGCCTGACACATCTTGGTGCTGCTCTACCTAAAATTAATGGCTGAATGGGCCTTATGCCTATATCTGCATTTATTCATGGCATATTTTGTTGATTCCACAGGCATAATTGCAGGGCTAAAAAGTGTAATGAGGACACAGTTGGCTGAAGATACTCTGTTGCTGGAGCAGCATGTCAAATACTGCCCTTTCCCATGTGCCCAATTCAGTTTTGAGTTTCCAAAGCCTGCAGATTAATTTTTGATCTGTGAGATAAAAAATTCCACGAGTACCTCTCTTCAAACTTGGCAGTACTTCTACAACCACAATAAATTAAAAACTAACAATTTCCTGCTCTTTTATGACCCTAAAGGTCTCTGCCTAAGCCAATTGCCTCACTTCAGCTAATGGTAGAGCCAACCATGAAAGACACAATAGACTTAATACCTACTACTTTAAGATGACATTACCTTATATTTCAAATAAACTATCAAAGATATGATACAAACACCAAAGTGTCTGTGACAATTATCTTGGCTTCTGTTGTAACAGGTCTTTCATTTAGATATCCGATCATAGTAGTAGCATTGACACAGTTCTATAAACAAATTATTCCAGTAATGTCATCTAAAAATCATCAAATGAAACCTGTCTGACATGCATAGTAATTCATTGCAGATGTTGAATTATTTAGGAGCTCTGCTCATGAATGGGAAATGCTATGGGAATTGCCAGGATGTAAATGTTTTAGAAAACATTTAGACCATGAGTACATCTTTGTCTACAGCACAATTATTCTCTCAGATTGTGTTTAGAAAGCTTCCTAGGATATTAGGTTCAAACTACGGAAATACTACTTGTGTTGTAATACACAGCATGAGCCATGCAATAAAAAAAAAAGGAGTAAAGGACCGTTCTTTCTAATACATTGTTTCATCAAAAATAATAATAATAAAAAGAAGTCGAGTATTTTTAAATGACTAATAATGAACATTATTTTCAAAACTTTCAGAAATATCTCTCTATTTTAATTTCTATGTTATTTACAAGCAGAATTATTATCTATAAAAGGCAAAACTCCAAAGACACTGGCTGGAAACAGGTCTAGATGTGGCAGAAGTGGCCTTTTGTTGATAGTGCAGAAGAAGGTGTAGGACATGTGTGCTACGGAGATCCAGCATATGTAGATCTACCATCATTCATCAACCCCAAAATAATGTTCTGAGGCTATGGTAGTGTTGGAAGTGAGCTTCCACTTCACACCCCGCCCTCTTTAGAGTTGCTGTCCTGTTTGCTCACTTTATTGGCATTAAAAATTGTGACCGTAATCCAGGATGGCAATATCACAACACTCCTAGTAGGAACAGAGAATGCACACCCAAGATTTGCTTTTCAGTACCTCTTGCTCCCAACCTCTAAGGCTCCTTTAAAAGTATCTAACATGAGGGGTTTCAAAAATCATTTTGGGAGTGTAAATCGAAGCCCAGCCAGTCCTCAGAGGTTCCCCTGTGATCAATGGAGTTAGCTCCCCAGCTGTACTGTCAATGTGCCCATTTGTATTTTTGTAAATAAATAATATATGTCTCTTTATGTGTGTCTCCTTTGTGCATGTCTGTATGCCTGGAGTGTATGCACACACTCCAATACATCTATCTCTTTTTCTGTTTCACTCTCTAGATATAAAGATGAACGTGTGTATCAGTAATCATTTCCTTAAATACATGTATTTCCAGGGTAGCTAAAAGTTAAAACAACACCACTATAAACAACAGAATCTTTAGATTTGAAACACCTGCTCAATAGCATAAATCAGCAAATATCAAGACAAAAAATATTATAGAGGTTAAATGTTATTCTAAAACACTGCAAGCATGACATAGCCTGAGAGAAGCAAAAAGGCCATTGCATAAGTATGGGGCGAGTGTGATGTAATGCAAATGTTGTAATTCTCTGCTTTTATTTAGATTCGAGATGGGCTTCTCCCTCAGGATCCCCTTCTCGGAAGATATTGCGATTCTGGCCTACCACCTCCTCTTCAGACCACAGGACCCTATGGCTGGGTTCACTTTCATTCTGATTCTTTTGGTAGTGATAGAGGCTTCCACATCACATACACCACATCGCCTGGTATGTATTGGTTTTTTTTTTTGGTAGTGCCTACAATTCTAGCCCTTTATGGAACAAACTACTGTATGTGGCTATCAAAAGCATCATCTGATGTTGAATAACCCTTTCTTTTTCCTCATTCATGGTAGCGGATCCCAACTGTGGAGGAAACTATACAGAGAGCAGTGGAGTTATTATGTCCCCCTACTGGCCTAATTCTTATCTTAACAACAGACAATGCATCTACATCATCCGACAGCCACCTGGTGAAAAAATCTCTCTCAACTTTACACACCTGGAACTAGAAAGTCATCCTGGCTGCTCTTGGAGCTATATTGAGGTGATTTTGACTTAAAACCCTTTCTTATTTTGAAAAAGTGAGCATTGGCCAGACTAGATAATAAATTACTCTTTTCCAATCATTATGACTAGAGATGGGGAAAAATTTTAAAAATGGTGATTTGTTTTGATCCATTATTCATCAAGGTTAACAGATCAACGAATACGAATATATGAATATTCTTCGACAGATTGAGTTGTTGATTTGTCTGCACTTTAAGTGGCTATACCACTGGCCCTCAACCACCTAGAGACACCATATTTTCAGGGAAGCTTCCTCAGACGCTTTTCTACAACTCCTGAAAGTTTGGTGAACATTGGATCAGGGACTCCCTTAAGGCAGGCTAAGGGAATCCAGGCTGCCTTTTGCAAAGATGGCAGCTGCAACTTCCCTAACCTAAATGAAGCTGCAGCCGCCATCTTTGCAAAGGGGAGCCAGTGTTCATTTTTACATGTCTTCTGGCTGCAAGGCCAGAAGACCTCAGCAGCAGCGATTAACGTAAGAGGATGTCTGTGGGGGTGGGGTGGCGTGGCATGGGACCTAAGGTAAGGAAAGGAAGGTCTTCTGGCTGCAAGGCCAGAAGACCTCGGAAGCAGCGATTAATGTAAGAGGATGTCTGTGGGGGTGGGGTGCCGTGGCATGGGGCCTAAGGTAAGGAAAGGAAGGGTGTGGTGGTAGGTTGTGGTATTGGGTTCTTGTGTGGGGTGGTGGCTGCCTTTCTGCTTGATCGGCAGCCGGTAGGAAGAATGGGTTTTGTTTTTTAATATGAAGGACAAATAAAAACAGGTAAATATTCATCCCTTTGTATTTGTGGGGGTCTCTGGAACCCACAAATATGGATCGACAAATATTTAACGACTCGGCTATATTCGTGGGAAAAACCGATCTGTTTTTATATTCGTCCCCATCTCTAATTATGACTGAGTAAGATGTGAGCAACATGGGGAGGAGAGTCAGGTTTGGAAGTGCCCTGTAATGGCCTGCCATTAGATGAAGTCAACCCTGGCAGTGAGGAACCGAGAGAGAAGACCTGTGATACCAGTGGGAGGCCTACAGCATGGAACTAACAGGTTAGATTCAGTGTTACCTTTGCGTTAACAAGAAGATGAACAAACTGATGGATCTAAACAGTAACCTTTTTAGAAGTACTGTTGTAAACACTTTAATGTTGCTTTCATGAGATATTTTTAAAAGATAAGCACATGTTTTATGCAAATGTTGTAAACACTTTAATGTTGCTTTCATGTGATATTTGTAAAAGATAAGCACATGTTTTATGCAAAAATTAACCATTTATCAATAATGATGATGATGGTGGTGGTGGTGGTGGCGATGATGATGATGATGATGATGATGATGATGATGATGATGATGTGCCATCAAGTCAATTCTGACTTATGGCAAAACTTTTCAGGGTTTTCTAGGTAGTGAATACTCAGAAGTGGTTTACCATGCACTTCTTCTGGGGCAACCTGGGTCTGTGCAGTTTGCCCAAAGCCACCCAGGCTGGTTCTATTCCCAGAGGGCTCAGTGAGGAATTGAACTCCTGACCTGTGGCCCCACAGTCAGATACCTCAACCATTGAGCTATCCTGCCAGCTGCCATTTTAACATTAATGTGTTGAATATTGCATACTCTTTCCAAGTGTTGCTGTTGTGCATACCTTACCACTACCAAACACCGTCCTTGAAAGCAGCTAGTGTGTTTTTACAGAGAAGGGCTGTATTGCCCAATGATGCGCCAGCCACATAGGCTGCTTGAGACAGAAATGGTGCACGGTAGGTAAGCCGAGGCCAAGAAGCAAGACATGGTGGCGGCAGCACAGAAGGCAAAAAGATATAGGATGAAAGATGGCGTGGGCGCCCATAACAGTGTTTCTCTTCCTAGTTCAAATAACAGGAGAGGTTAGGCCAACATTCCCCTTTACCTGTGCCTTTCCTGTGCTGACTGGGAAAATCCATGCATGAGTGGGGGGAAGTCTACTTTCACTGGTTTGAATAGGAATAGAGGTCTTTGATTAAACATTGTTCCCAGCCGTGTGTAGGTTTCTACCTATTTTCAAAGAAAAGTGAGTAGACGCCCACTTCAGATCTCCCCACTCATCAACAGAGAAGGGGGGCTTGGAGGGTGGGGGCTGTATATGCAAGGATATCGCAGGGAGGAGACGTGAGTGTTGCCCCACGCCCCTTACAGGTATCCTTGTATCACAGGGCTGTTGTAAATGTGCTTTTAGATTAATTCTTCTTCAATTCTTTTAAAAAGCAGCGATGCAGTAAGGGACATCAACCTTCCTTAACAAGTGATGCTGAGGATGATGGGGTTGTAATGCAACAGATCCAGAAGGCACCAGGTTGGGGGAGGTAGTTATATAGTATGAAACTGGCTGCTCGAAGAATAGCAGTCACATTTTTCCCCCTCGTTTACATCACGCCCCTGATGTGAACCCTTTTAGGTTTCAACCATTGCTTAGGCATCCTGTAACTTCATTTGCCTGAATTTAGTTGTAACCCTGCCTTTGAGAATAAAAATGTGAAGAGTTCCTGTGAACTATATTTAATATAAACCGAGTCGCGATTTCTTGTTATTGTCATAACACCACTTCTTCCTTCCTTCCTTCCTTTGACAATGGCTGGAATGAAGTTTAATTAATCACCGAAGTGGAGGAAACCCAGGGCATAATGAAAACAGACAGCTTTTGTTTCTTCGGGGCTCATATTCCCTTCCCTAATTGGTGACAAAACGTTAGCAAAATTCGCAGCAGCGAGAGGAACAAAACCATTTGTATGGGACACCATCAGTTTTGGATTCATTTGGCAAGGTGTTTAGTTTGCTCTTTGGGACCAGTTCCACAAAACAGAGGTGTGCTCCCATGGGCTCCTGTTCCGGCAGTAATTTCTATATTTCTGCCCTGATGTCCTGATTCCTTGCACATCCAGGCAACTGAGAGCAGGGAGCGCAGATTTCTATGCCGATATCAGCAAGTTAACATCTTTATTGCACCAAGTATTTTAACAGTGAGACAATGGATAGTTTCCTTTCCTTCCAAGTGCATTTCAATACCATGAAATGGGACAGTCAGAAATCTCTCCTTGCAAACAAAGATTATTTCCTGACACTTGCTCTATACTGGTTTCATTTAAAGGTAGTATTGGGAGAAATTCTTCAGGAAATGGCTTTTTAAAAAAATGCTCCACCTTTTGAAAAGCCTCGGAATACTCATATGCAGCTTACATTACATAGCTGCTAGCATGGAGGTACACAGTTTGCTGTGTCAGCAGGAAGTATAAGAGGGGAAGTTTTAATCTCTCAGAAAGGTGCAGAGCTTTGAATTTCTGGAACAATTCTGCTCGGTTAAGTCAGTAAAAGCTTGTGAATGGGAACAATAGTTGCATGTGTGATCACTTTTTATATATCTGTATAATATCAGAATTATCTGGCTGGCAGAGAATCCTACAAAGGATCCTGTTATGGGTTATATCAGCATTCCCCAAAATAATGTCCTCCAGATGTTTCATACAACAGTTCTATCATTATGCTGCTGATGGTGGGGACTGTAGTCCGGCACATAAAGAGATCTCCATATTGGGGGGTGCTAGATTGTACTATACATTGTTTGCATCTCCTGTTATGGGTTATATCAGCATTCCCCACAATAATGTCCTCCAGATGTTTCATACACCAGTTCTATCATTATGCTGCTGCTGATAGGGACTGTAGTCCAGCACATAAAGAGATCTCCAGATTGGGGGGGTGCTGGATTATACTATACATTGTTTGCATCCATACATGGGCTGAAATCTAGTACAGTAGTAAGTTGCAGCCAGAGTAGCCCTGTTGAATCAATGGGGATTTGGTGAGTCAATTCATTTTTAAATAGATTCAACTCCAGATTGGGGGGGTGCTGGATTATACTATACATTGTTTGCATCCATACATGGGCTGAAATCTAGTAGTAAGTTTCAGCCAGAGTAGCCCTGTTGAATCAGTGGGGATTTGGTGAGTTAATTCATTTTTAAGTTCTATAGATTCAATGGGCCTACACTTGTAGCTTACTAATGGATTTCAAACATCATGTAGGTTAACTGTTCTAAGTAGTTCCTCTTGCCAACTCCACTGGCATGTGTTGTACATATTGCACAAAAGAACAACAAATTGCAGTTTCATGCAGTATGTCCGCACTGTTGAATGATGCAGACATTTCAGAAATGTGGTGGTTTATACTTTAAACTGACAGTATGAGAGGCAAGCAGCCATTTGTGCCAAAAATTCAAAGAAAATTCTGCTCTCTATGGCAACGCTGTATTTTGAGCCAGGAGATCATTCCTGCTTATGATCTATGGGTTTTAATTCTGCAAGCAGATAAGTCTCAAGGAGTTTATTGGTAACACTCTTAACATTTTAAAAACAAACCAGAAATATCCTGGCATCTGTGCAGTGGAATTATGGTATTCTTTGTAAATCCACTGTCCTCAAACATGGCATGTTACCTAAGACAGAGGTTTAGCATTCATATAATGTATGTTTTAAATGCTGTAAAGTTTATCCCAGTTATTGAACTTTCAATCCTCTTTTTTTTTAAATGAACAAATATTCTTATCATTAAGGGAGCATACCTTCTTGCAAAACCCTAGAGTCATTCACATTATACAGGAGTCTGATTAGAAGGATGGAGAAATAGAAAACAAGGATGGTGACACCCTGTGTTTCTAGAAGAGCGCATAAAAGTTTCTTACTTGGACTGCAGTTCTCAGAATCCTTTAGGCCAGTGGTCCCCAACCTTGGGCCTCCAGATGTTCTTGGACTACAACTCCCAGAAGCCTTCACCACCACCTCTGCTGGCCAGGACTTCTGGGAGTTGAGGTCCAAGCACATCTGGAAACCCAAGGTTGGGGACCCCTGCTTTAGGCAACATGATTATCAGTTCAAAAAACCTAAATTTCCCAAGCTATGATGACTAAGATGCTTTGTTACTTTCATTGCTATTTCTATTAGCACTTCAGTTACCATTTCAGGGTTCCAGCCTACCTAGAAATTATGACATCTGATGTATGAATGTCTCATTTGCTCTAGGTGTTGCATTGCCATCTCTCTGCATGTATATAAAGTGTATGTGCGCATGTGTGGGTTTCAGGAGAACAGTCATGGCTCAGTCATGACATGGGCATGACCATTTTTACCTCTATCTGGTATGCATACCAGTCTCTGGCAACTGAAGACGTGGTTGTGACAAGTCTCCCCTTGGAGTTTTATGTTCAGATCTTACGTGATTTCATTGACTTTGATGTGTTAGGTCCTAGATGGCGACACCGAGATGTCTCCCTTAATCAGCAAGTTATGTGGCAACGTACCTCCTCCAGCCCTCAATTCCAACGGCAACAGTCTCTGGATCAGGTTCAAGTCTGACACTTCAGCCCACAAGTCAAACTTCAGGGCTGTTTACGATGTTGGTAAGAACTGGTAGAATTTAGTGGGTTCGAGAACCCTGGCTATGGTGCTGGGAATTTGGCTCCCCAGTATGTTGATGAAGTGCCAACTGAGATCACTCAAAACATGTGTGACTGTTGACAATGATGATGATAGAAGTGGTTCAGAGTGCCCTCCACCTTCCCTTGGGAAACAACTGAGATCATTATTATCCATTATCTTTACCCTGCCTATATCTGGGATAGATATTTGTTTTGTTCCCCATCCCCTTTGAACTCAAAGGGATTTATTGGCTTAAAGCAGAAACCTCCTGTACTGCAGCCAATTGACCCGAGATCAATCCCAGGTAGCTGACTCAGCTTTCCATCCTTCGGAGGTTGGTAAATGGAGTGTCCAGCTTGCTGGTGTGTGTGGGCAATGCATAGTTAAACTGTGAACCATCCAGAGAATGCTTTAAGCAATGTAGGGCAGTATATAAGCTGCACTCTTTGCTTTTTTAAAGGTGCAAACATTTGGGCCAAAATTTGCAAAAACATTTTTTTCCCCTGGAAAAGGGAATATATTTGAGAGAGGGATCAACAACGGTCTGCCTGAATGCATTTCAATCTATTGGTTTTTTTTGTTTTAAACAAAACTATTATGTTCTAAAATTTTAAAAAATATTAATATATAATATAATACAAAATGTACACCTAAGCATTGTATTGAAGTCTTCAAATATACCAGATAAATAAATAATAATCCAATAAAGGGCTGCAAATATACACTTTATTAACATGTCTTGCGCTATTTCTCAATGTGATGCTTGTTAGTTCCACAGAGTTTTCTTATGCTGCATTCTGTATTGAAATGATTTCATGCATGAACTGAAATGCCTTGTCAGAGTAATGACTAATTCACCCTTTCTCTGGACAGCCTGTGGGGGAACTTTGTCTGGTGATGGTGTCATCAGGTCTCCCTATTATATGAGGGCATTGTCTCATGACAAGATCTGTGAATGGATCATCTCCCAACCAGAAGGCCATGTAGTGATTTTGAATTTCACTGACTTTCGCATTCGTAATGTCACAAACTGTGCCTTGGATTATGTTGAGGTAAAAGGTCAAATTTTAAAATTTAACATGCCCAGTTTTAGCCTTGGATTATGTTGAGGTAAAAGGTCAATTTTTGAAATTTAACATGTCCAGTTTTATTTTTATTTATTTATTTATTAGATTTTTACCCCGCTCCTCTAGAAAATGTCTACTTGGGGCAGCTTTAAAAAAGCTACATATGTTCTAAAAACTTTAAAAAGCTACATGTGTTCTAAAATGTACATAGACATGCTTTAGAAAATGGATACATGCACTGAATAACAGTTTAATTTAGAAAATGTGCACTAAAATACACATAGACATTTTCTTTTGTTGTTTCTGCATGGAATCAGCATGGAATGAACTTGGAGGTGGGAATAAAAAAGGAAGAGATCTTTCAAGTAGCTTTGATGGCTTTGTTCTTCCTTAAACCGAGTTCATCAGGATGCATAGAAAGTTGCATAATGTGAAGCAGTGTAGTATAGCAGAGTGCTGGGTTAGAATTCAGGAGGCTTGGGTTCAAATCCTAACATTACCATGAAAACCCCCAAGGGTAGCAATGATAAAGTTTTAAGTCTCTCATGTACCTTGAAAACCCTATTGGAATTGTTATAGGTTTGATGTGACTAACAAAAACAAGAGAAGTGTAGAGGTCTTTAAATTTTGGCATGGATGATATTATGCCCGCATTTTATAGATGGTGATGTGTATGATTTGACTTAGTTCAGTAAGTCTTCCCTGTTTATCTGGACACATCTCCAATCATTCTAAGGACTCTGAATTTTTGTCTCAAATTAGGGGTGGTGGTGGAACTTGTTCAGTTCACATTTAATGCACAACTACCTTTCTTGCACTTCCTGAATCAGTATATGAACAAAATCACAGCGATTATTTTTTATTCACTTCTCTGAATTTTGAAATGCACTTCAATAAAACAATGTATTTGTGAGCAAGAATGTGCATAGTGGGGAAATGTTCCTCGCAAAATGAATATATTTGTAAAAATAACTAAAGTCTGAAAAAGTTGTTTTGGGATTACATTGATGTTGTGATCCTGAAAATAAATATTTTTGAACTCTGAAAAAAAAAACAGTTTTAAAACTACATTTAAAAAAGCTATTGCAAAAGTGTGTATAAGGCAAAATCACATAACAGTATCAGGAGAAATTAGCATAAAATAACAAATCAATACCTGGCTTTTTACACAGGCCTTGGAAAGCTGCATTCCTTAATTTCATTTTTTTAGGTATCTCTGTGATGGTCCTAGGTTGATTGTTTCCTGTTTGGTGTTCAGTCAATCCACCAACCTGAAAGTTAGGTGATGTCTGTTAGATAATAGGGTTTGAGTTGGCTTTTGTTTTTTTCCCCTTATGTTTATTGTTTTTATTGTTGTTTCTGTACCTGTGTTTACTTTCGTGTAGCCACCCAGGGTAGTGGCTCATCACTAGTTGGGTGGGACATAAGTTAAACAAACAAACAAATGGATTGCATGCAAATGTCTGGGAAGGCTTTTTAAAAAAACATTTTAAACTGATACAAAAATGGGATGAAACAAACTCATAATTGGATTAATTAGCATCTGAAAGCAACTGAAAGGGAATGATATGTCCACTCCTGTCTTTAAATCCTCACTGAAGTGATCTATTGCTAACACATTGCATCTAACGTACAGCAATTTTTAATGGAAAGTGAACATTTTCTACCTGCAGGTCAGAGATGGCAACAGTGTGAATTCTCCTGCTTTGGGAAAATACTGTGGTATAAGAGTTCCATCAGTTATTCAGTCTAGCCAGAACTATCTTTATGTAAAATTCAGTGCATCATCCATTACCAACCTTGGCTTCCTTGCTGAATACAAGTCTTTTGATGCAGGTAAATGGTGCTGCCACTATCCTTCCTTTCCTACCAAATCTGTTAGGGATGGCACAGTAAAACCCATGTAATTAAAATATAATGGCAAAAATCCAACAGAAAACCCCACATGTAAGAGCACTCATAGAATCATAGAACAGTGAAGTTGGAAGGGGCCTGCAAGGCCATCATGTCTAACCCCTTGCTCAATGCAGGAATACAATCAATGCATGTCTGCCAGTTGATTTATCCAGGAATACAATCAATGCATATCTGCCAGTTGATTTATCTCAGTTTTTCTTGAATGCCTCCCGTGCTGGAGCACTCCTCACCAACTCCCGAAGTAACTGGTTCCACTGTCATACTGCTCTAACAGTTAGGAAGTTTTTCCTGATATTCAACCAAAATCTGGCTTCCTTTAACTTGAGCCCATTGTTGCGTGTCCTGCACATGACTTGCTGTGTACCCAATGTCACTGGTGTGGAACTGGGAGAAAGCAGGAAAGCTTGCTGGAGGGGTGGCGGGAAGGCTTGTGTAATTTCCCTTACGTAGTTGCCATTATTGACCTACAGAGCCCCAAACCACTTGAAGTCCAGGATTCTGAAGTAATTATTCTCCTTATATTAGCCTGCTTCTGCCCAGGTGTTTGAGAAAGGCACATCTTGTTGTCCCGGCAGTAGGTGGAGTTGATAGGGTGTGGGAGGGCCTTCTCCACATCAGTGGTCAGACTGTGGAATACCCCTTCATGAGAGGTATATTTGGCATCAACTTAACTGACCTTTTGATATCAGATAATGTTCATCTGAGCATTTGTGAGAACCATTAATATCACAGCCTCTCTAATCATGAATTTTATTTATCTCTACTGATTGTTACTGATTTTATGAGGGGTGTTCTAGAGACAGAGTGTTTGTTCGCCTTCATATACCTGATTCTTCACTCATGATGGTGGTATTTCTCCCATCATCTATACAGCGTTCCCCTTGTCTCAGTTAGGACACCGCTTCTTCCGTGATGTCTTATTCCCTCCTCAAGTCATGATTTGTTTCTAGTCCTTGTTTGTTCTGGGGGAATGGAGTTCGGTGCTATGGCACTTCAGATTTAAGTTCATTTCGGCACTCAAAAGCTTTCATTTAGCACAAAAATATGCACGTGCACACACACACGATCAAAACCAAAGAAGGCTCTAAAAGAGAAGATTCAGCAGGAAAGTAGACCCAGGATTTCCTGAGCAATAATTTTCAGAAAAGTAGCATTTTAAAGCAAAGTTTGGATGTGACTTTTAGTAAATGCCATGCTCTTCCTCAACCAAGTAGGAGAAAGGAGGAGCTTTCACTTCATTTGGAAAAAGACCTCAGTGTTATAATTTTACTGTGTGTTTCATTTTACCATTCCCTATAGTTAGTCAATTTTTCAGAAGAGCAAAATATAAATAAAAACAAACAATTATGTGATGCAATGGTATTCATGTCTATTGAGTACTGCCATTGAGGTCAATGGGTCTTATTGTCAAGTAAGTGCATATAGGATTGCAGCCTTAGCAAACTTTCAAAGAAATAACTTATAGTTGTTGTGGGTTTTTCGGGCTTATAGTCAACATGCTAGCTCTTTATGAACCACATCCTCTGTCTTGATTGCAACACTCTTTTTTCCTTTGTTGTAGCATGTGGAGGAACTCTTACAGAATCTTCTGGAACTATTGCAAGTCCTGGCTATCCAGTCAACTACCCGCATGGTATCAGATGTACATGGACCATCTCAGTACAGCCTGGTAGCTTAATCCATCTGACCTTCACATATTTTAATATTGAATTTGGTTACATTTGCTCCAAGGATTACCTTGAAATCTATGACAACAGCACTATGAAAAAGCTGGGAAGGTATGTATACATTTAATGGGATCTGGGCCAGAATTTATTATGTATATTTATTATCCCATAGAATTCCTTTCCAACTAGATGGGCATAGAATTCTGCCATTAGATGGCCTAAATTAATTGGGACCGTCTTTGAAGTTGTGTCCATCATCATACATTGCTCCCTTTTAATTGGTGCTTCATCCTTCCTTTTTCGCTACTTATCCACTCCTTCTCTTCTGATGTATAATGTATAAGCAGTCACATTTTTGTCATTGGGGCTCTAGAAATGTTTTTAAAATGAATTCTGGCATACTTAGTGACCTTATTTAGATATCTAAATTAAAACATGTGTTCACTTCAGATTATCATATAGTATGCAACATTTATAAATATTAATTTATGAATTGTGTCTCTAAAGCTTGAGATGAACATATACAAGTTAACTTTCATTTGCCTCAGGTACTGTGGGAGGTCAATTCCACCATCTATTACCAGTAGTGGCAACACAATGACACTATATTTTGTGACAGACCATGATGTTGCCACAGAGGGATTTTCTGTTAATTATGCTTCACTGGATGCATCTGCAGGTATGATTTAGCATTCAAATTCTTCTATACTTTCAGTTAATCCCATTCCTGGGAAAATTAAACACGTATAGCTTCCAGTGAGAGGATAAAGTGAGGAAGAAAACTCAGCTTTGCTTGTTTAATATGTACCTCTGCTATAATTTAGAACATTGTATTATACTGAGTCAAATCATTTGTCCATTGTATTATTGACACCAGAGTGTCAGATAGAAATTCTTCCAAATCTTCCTCAAAATGCTGATGATTGACTGTTACTGGCCATATTGTTAGGCAAAAGGAGGCAGATACCTGAGGGACAAATGCTAGGGGAGAGGAAGCTTTTGAAGGATGATGTGGTGTATGTCACATGGTCTGGCTTGCCTATCCTATGCTTTCCTGCTATCCTGACATGTAATGGAAGATGTTCCCCACACTAAGAGTTTTAAAGTTGAATTTGCTTGCCAGTGTGATTGGAGAGTGGAGATATTGCATTCTACCTCAGGCAGCAAAATATTTTGAGGGAGGCCTGCTCACACCAAACACATATCTTATGGGTGGCTTAAACACCATGAAGAAGCCATATTGTTCTTCTCAACTCTTCAGCATTAGTGGTTTGTTTCAGTCTAATATAAATCTTTAGCCTTTCCTTTAATTTAATGTGCAAAACATTCCCTCTGGTAGCACACAGCCAAAAAAATGTAGTGTCTGGCCTATTTTTCTGGTCCAGAATGTGTGTAGGCAGAGCTGGCAGACTCTTTTTCTTTAGCACCAGTTAGTTTCTGCAACCAGATGATTCATTTTTGAAGGAGGTCTCAAGCCGTGCAGTGTGGGTTTAAGAAATACAATTAACAATGACTTTATGAAATATGGCTTCCAGGGGATAGCCTAAGAGACATCACACAGCCAGTAGAATGCCATTTTCAATGAATTAATTGATCAATTGATTAATTAATATCATTTCCAGCAAAATAAACATTTTTTCCTCACACAGCTCACACATTCCATCTCATTTTTTAAATAAATGGGCATTTTTCATCCATCCAATACAAGTAAAAAATATCACTGTGTCAGGCTCAGGATTTTTTTTTTTTAAAAAATGTAACTTGTTACAGGGACAAAAAAAGACACCACTTGTTACCGTTACAATTTCAAAGATATTTTAGTAAGTTGTTACTCATTAGGTTTCAGTTGAGGAAGGGGTGGGTTCCATCTAAAAAGTAAGCAAATGATCTAAGGATTTAGCCCCCAAAAGTAATATGAAAAACTAGTCAGTAAGTACCAGTTGTATTACTTACGAGTTATATCCTTGCCACCCTACAAAGTAACATGTTATCATAGCAGTACATTTATTCAAAGTTCTGCTTTGTGTATGCTCCCAAACTAAATATGCTTTTCCTTTCTTCAAGAAAAACAATCTCTAACTCTGTAAAAATTTCTTATCTCATTGCACTTCTCGTTGTTTTTCTATTTTGATAAAGAATCATTTTAAATTGTTCCTTTTGCCAGTTCCCGCCTAGCTTAGCTAGGAAAATATTATGCTGTACTTAAATCTGTGCTGCTCCATGTCTTGTCCATAAAGTTTAACAAAGCTGAACACAACAGCATATTATCCACCATTTCTGAGGATTCCAAGAAATGAATCCTTCAGAACATCTGAGAGCAAAGCTGAGGTCTCTTAGCAAAACCAGAAGGAATCAGTCTCACAGTAGGCCTGTGCTGTGTTCACATATATTCTCTCCCATTGCTACAGTCAACTATGATTTAAAATAATAATAATAATAATACATTAAAAAAGTCCACATTTTCAAATTCATCATCATTCTTTATTATGGCTGCAGACCAGCAAGATTATAAAAACAGAACATACAGAAAACTCCTATATGGAGTATATGAATCCTTCTTTCAAGATGATTGCAACATTTTCTCTCAACATTTTCAAATTGCCGCACTGAGGAACAAAGTTCCCTGGTCAGTGGCATTAGTTGTGGTGCAAGTGGCTGAGGGAAGAAAGATGGAATCTCTGGAAACAGTTCAAAGACATATTCCATGAACTGAACTGTTTATACCTTTTTGAATGGGGAGGGAAGTCTTTCTTTTTATGTGCCATCAAGTTGCTTCTGATTTTAATGGAGACCCTAAGAAAGTTTCAAAGCATATCAGATGTTTAAGGAATGATTTGTCATTGCTTTGCTCCCCCTCCCATGGGTTTGTGTGGCTGGGTGTGAATTTGAACCAAGGTCTCATCAATCCTAACCAAACACTAGATTTCACCCTTGGGAACACCACATAAATAAAATTCTACAGTTCTGGGTTGGGTGGACTGAATCTGTGTTGTTTTCAAGTGGATGGCTTAAATGTGATAGAATTCCTGTGACTCTCTGATATTGTTGAAGTCCAAGCCAATAGTTAGAGATGATGGAATTTGTAGTATGACATTGAGAAGACCACTTATGTATTAAGGTATCATGGAGTATCACGACTAGCTCCATATTTTGGTTTTACTGGGAAGTCATATGGTCAAAAGCTATTTTTGTTTTTGTTTCATATTTCAGGTTTTTAAAACTCCATTGCTTATAATCCTCACTCCCAGAAAAAATGTCAGTAACCACAACATGCTTGTGATGAAAAAAAACAGCATAGCTAAAGGGACTGATAACAGTCAGCCAGCATATGCAGATTAAAAAGAAAAAAACCCACTAAACTTTAAAAAGCTTCTGGGATTGAAGTGTTTTTAATTCTCTTATGGAAATGACATTGCAATAAAACCCTACCTATGATTCTTGTCAAATTACTGTAGGCCTCTTTAAATGGGGGGGCAAGATTATGAGATAACTATTCCAAATTTGATGTGAACAAAGGAAGCACCAAGAAAGATGAGAAAAGTTACTCTTTTAGTTTAAAACTACCAGGATTGTCTGAACAGTATTGGCTGGAGTCCTCTTTAGTTAAAAAAAAAGAGAGGAGCTATCCTTACCTGTAGTATGAGGCTATTTATGCCTTTAAAGTTCAAAACCAGTTCGTAAAAATGCTCACATTGAGCCAGGGAACAAATGGGGATCTAGTGGTAGGTTATATGGATCACCTATGGGGCTGCTCATAGAGACAGTGCACGCCTTCCAGTTTGATCAAAATGCTACTGCCAGGACTAAGGATGGTAAATGGATCAATCATACATATGATTGTTTTAAAGTTCAAAACCAGTTCTTAAAAGGGCTAACACTGAGCGAAGGAACAAACGGGAATCTAGTGTAATGATTTATAGGTTATATGCTATCAAGGAAGGAATTCTGTTATATTGTATATATTTATGTTTATGGATTGCAATGTACAAGAAACTATCTCATAACAAACAAAATACAAGCTATTCATAATAGTCACTTCAAAAAGCTTTTGAAGTGTTTTATATACTTTATATAATTATATATATAAAGAAAGAATTCCTTCCTTGGTAGCATATAACCTATAAACCATTACACTAGATCCCCGTTTGTTCCCTGGCTCAGTGTGAGCCTTTTTAAGAACTGGTTTTGAACTTTAAAACAATCATATATATGATTGATCCACTTGCCATCCTCAGTCCTGGCAGTAGCACTTTGATCAAACTGGAAGGCCTGCACTGTCTCTATGGGCGGCCCCACGCAAAAAGCATTGAAGTAACCCAGTCTGGATGTAACCAGCTCATGAAAAGCTAAAGCCAGTTCTGCCTTTTTCCGAATTAGGGCTGCAGCTCACAAACAAGAACTTCAGTTCTGGACTTTGAAGGGGGAGGGCAAAGGTTGGAAATGAACATTGTGCTTGGCTAATGGTTGGAGACAGATGGAGATTCAATTTGAAATGGCTGGGGTGAAATGTTTCTAAACAAGCTTGCTTTTGAACTTGTCTACAAAGGATCTTTGTTTGGGCCCCTTCTTTTCCATGAGTTGGTAAAATTAAGTCAGTTAATTATGTTACTGTGTGCCAGCAGCGGCAGGACTTCAAGTGCTGATGTTTTCTTCCATTGCCTGCAGGCAAAAAGCATGTTGTGTTGTAAGTGGTGCAGCATGAATTGGAGGGTGGAAGAGGTTGCAAATATTAGTATAAAGGGGACAAACACACTTCTGACTGTGAGATCCTCATATTAAAAGAAAAAGCAGGCATGGCGGAAGGTCCTTCTTTTGGTTTTTTAAACAGAAAACTTTTTAAATGATCAATCTTTTCCTTTTTGTAAGGGACGAGGAAATGTCCCCATTTTAACTCTAAAGGTTGTGCAATGAAGCATGAGAAAGAGACAACGCAATGGTGTTTTAATTTTTTGTTGACTGTTTGTGCAGTTCAGCTTCCAGCAGCTTTATTGCTCTTTCCACTACGGCCAACTTCATGGCTTATGGGCTGGATTAAGAACCAGATGGATGGTGCCTCCTTCATATGCTGACGGATCAAGCTGTGTAGAGTTCTTAAGCAGAATTGGCCTTTTCTTTCCAAACAAACTTTGTGTCTTGAAAATGAATTGAAAGAAAGGTTTCTCCAAGTTTTTATGAGCAACATCAAGACATAGAGCAACATCTTGATGTTTTGGAGTGTGATGAAGAAAACAAAATTAAACTGCTTTTTTGTAATTATCCCTGCTAAAAGCATCTTTCCATAGCTGGATGCTAACATGATCAGAAAGGGTTTTTCTGCTCCTGTCAGAGAGTTACCAACAGAACAGTTACTGCAATGGTATTCAGTGGATTTGTAGAAAAGGCAATTAGCCAAGCAGGATGTTGGTGTTTAATCTTCATGACCAGCTGTGTTTAATCTCTTCTGGCTATTGTACAGATACAAAAATTAAGGTATTGGGCAATTGTTCCATTGCTCCATTGATTTTCTTTGAATACTGTGGGAAACCATGAAGAGCAGGTAAATGTTTGATCTGGAGTTGCTTGATTTCTTTCAAGATACTGGTGTGAAAGAGCTTAAACTATATTTCTCTTTAATAATTACAGTGGTGCCCTGCATAGCAACGATAATCCGTGCAGCCAAAATCGTCGCTATACGGATTCGTCGCTATGCGAAATAAAAAAGACCATAGGAATGCATTAAAACCCGTTTAATGCATTCCTATGGGCAAAAAACTCACCGTTATGCAAAAATCCATTTTCGCTGCCCGGTAAGCGAGGAATCGGCGCGAAAACACAGTGGGTGGCCATTTTTTTACCCGACGGCCATTTTGGAACTGCCGATCAGCTGTTCTAAAAACATCGCTATGCGAAAATCGGTACGCGAAACAGCTTACCGATCATCACAAAGTGATTTTTTACTATCTAAATCATCGCAATGCGATCACTTTTGCGATTGCAAAAACTTAATCGCTATGCGGATTTGACATTAAATGGGTCGCCCGTTAAGCGAGGCACCACTGTACTAGGTACCCAAGAATAAAATTAGACTCTTGTTATACCCTATTCATGGAACAGGGAAAACCTGTTTGGCTTAGTCTTCCATTTGTAACCAATCCCATGTTTTTGCACCATTCGAGGATTATGGGAGCTTGACACAACTATTCTTACTATGCCATCTTAGGTTAAAGCTTTTTGAAGTGACTATTATGAAGAGCTTATATTTTGTTTGTTATGAGATAGTTTCTTGTACATTGCAATCCATAAACATCTTTGCAATGAGAGTCTGATTTTCAAGCTTTTTTAAAGCCCATTTTAACTCTTCTGGCTCCTTTTCTCTGTTTCCTTTCAAGCATGCTTATACCAATACACAACAGCTTCTGGTGTGTTGACCTCTCCAAACTATCCGGGCCACTACCCTGACGAAATGACATGCATATACAAGATTCAGGTGGAGAGGAACAAACAGATTGCTTTGCACTTTACCAACTTCTCTTTGGAAGAGGATGCAACATGTTCAAGTGATTATGTAGAAATCAGGCAAGTTTGTTTGTTTTTGCTATCTTTGGAACAACATTTGAAAAGTTAAAAATCCACTTCTGAACACTGTAGAATACAATGGATTGAAACTTTATGAAACTGCTGTATGCAATATCACTGTACTATTTATCCTAAGCTACATCTGAATCCAGAATGCCCTCTTTTGAGCATCTGGAGTTCTCCATGGGTCTTGTACACAGCCTGAAAAAGCTACTTTTTAAGAGCACTGCTCCTTATGGCAATGTACACTGTCATATGAACACAGTAGAAACTGCTTTGGGATGATCTTTTTGCTATGAGCACCAGTCACTGGAAAGATATTATGATGCTAGGCATCGTCATTTCCCCAGGTTAGGAGACAACTGTCAGAGTAAATGGCACTGAAGGAGGAAAATGTTTGATTTAACTCTGGTATTTCCAGCTTTTCTCTCTTGTCTCTCACATTCCCTTATTTATCTAGCTCTTCTCATGCCTGTTTGTACAATCATAGAATCATAGAATAATGAAGTTGGAAGGAGCCTATAAGGCCATCAAGTCCATCACCTTTCTGTCCAGAAGAAGTTCTAGTTTCCCTTTGGAGGCTTACCAGCCTTACCTCTCACAAGGACTCACACTGGTCTCATAGTTTGATATTCCTTCCATCCCTATGCCTAGCCTATGAAGTAGCTCCTCCCTCCAACTCAGAGGCTCTCCCTCAGCTTCTCCTGTCCCTCTGCCATTCAAAAAGCTTGCCACTTCAGAAATAACCACAGATGGTTTTTAAAATGTGATCAATAGAGATGAAATCCCTGGCTTTGCTTTTCTCTTTATGGCTTCAGTTGCCAGCAGCTCCTAGCTGGGACAACAACTCTCCTTACAAGAGAGAGTGTTAGCAAGGGGCTCCTGATGGTGCTGTCCATGGTCCTGATAGTTCTTTATAATGCTTTCGCTTGATTTAGCACAGAACATATTGAGTCCTTGTGCTAATAGACTACTTTCCATGAGCTTGCCTGGCCAATGCACAAGGTCTGGTCCTGAATTTTGAAAGAAAATAAGAGTTCTGTTGATCAGACACAAGACTGTCTGGTCTAGCATAGCCAGATGCATCTAGAATTCTGCTCCTACTCTTGAATCAGGCTTAATATATTTATGCAGGGATCAGTCCTACTGAGTAGGCCTCGTTCTCAAGGAAACTCACCTTCTGGTGATACTACAGCTTCCTCTTCTTATTCTTTTGACAGGATCTTTTTGGGGTTTTAGAGTAAAAAACTGTTTTGCTTGTTTTGAGACTGGTGAGCCCTGGAAGTAATAGTAGCATCTCAGAAGATATAATATCTCTAGAAGTTGGAGTTTTAGATTCCTAACTTTGTATGTATGTGTGTTTTTGGACTGCAGGGATGGAGGTTATGAGACTTCACCATTAATTGGAAAATATTGTGGCTCGTCATTGCCTCCTGTTACTGTCTCTCATGGTAACAAGCTGTGGATAAAGTTTGAAAGTGATATACTTATCACAAGCACTGGATTCTCAGCTTACTGGGATGGATCATCAAGAGGTAAAAACAGGAATACCAAGTAAATACATTTCTTTGCTAGAAAGATAGATTAGTTTCTCCATTTATTTGGCAGCTTCTCTTAGATGAAATTGTTTTGCCCAGAATATGGAGATCTGACCCCCACCCCACCCCTCTTCTGGTAAAGTGAACAGGTTGAAATGCAGAATCAATAGAGTGGTTAAGATGACAGTGTTGGAGTTAAGAAGTAAATCTTCACACATTTCCTTCTTGAAGTGAAACATTTCAAGTCCCCCTCCACAATGCTGGACAAAATTACAAGGGCTTTTATGCCTTTTTCCATCTGGCGTTTTTGTTTTTGTTTTGTTTTGTTTGTTTTTTGTTTTTTTGCAAAAAAAATCAAGCTGAAGTGATTTTGTGTGGGTTTTTTATGTTAAAAAAACTCATATTTTGCAAGGAAAACCAGTATTTAGGACAAAACACAAGGTTTTTAGTGAAAAATATATTTGCAGAAAATAATCCAAAGGCTTTTTGCACACACAAAAAATGCATATTTGCAGAAACCACCACAGATGTTTTGCACAAAAAAAGAAGTTTTGTGAATGCCGTTGCTGATAAAAAAAAGTGCTGTCCTTTTTGCTTCTGAGTTAGAGCAAAATGTCTCACAGCAATTGCCCACTTTTTTGATGACCTGTTCCTAAATGCCAAGTCTTCATTGAGGAAAAGAAAATGTGCAAGCATTTGTTATATCCTTAGATGGACTTCTCTGTCAAGGTATGGACTCTCAAGGTCTCTGATCTTAAGGAACTTGTCAAATTTTAAGCATACAAAAATAGACCCTTTCTCATTTGGGTATTTTGAATTTGTCTCCCTGCATGTTACATCATCTCTACTGGTTTTAAAGATATTGTATATTTTGTATTTTGCAGAATTAGGATTCACATATCTTTTCCACTACATGAATTCTGTTAATGTTGGGTTATTTTATTTCAGCTTTTAGAGGAAAAGTAGGCTGCACATTTTATAAGTATGGTGGTTAGGGTGGATATTTTCTTTTTCTGAGTCCTGAGTTATTTTCTCCCATTCCACCTAGCGGAAAGGACTACAAAAGTGCTGAAAATCCAAAGTACAGTGCATTCCCTGACCACAAATTAATGATGAGTTTATTGTAAAGGGAATATATATTCATTTGTAGGGAGGTTTTTGTTTCTTAAGGTTTGTGCAGTTTTGGAAGGTGCAAAACATTTTAAAATAGCAACAAAATGTGGTGTAATGTTTTGAAGGCTAGCGGGTTCACAAAAGCATAAGTTTGCATTCTTTTTAGTTAGCTACGTATGTGGAGTGTTATCTTAATTTGGCAGATAGATATAGATATACACCAGATGGTATAGCCAGGTGGGAGGAGAAACATAAGCCATTTTTATGCTGAAGTCCTTTTCTGAGCATGAATTGTGGAACAGAACAGACATTGGTCAATGCAGTGTTTCCTTTGCACTTTTTTTCCAGGTTGTGGTGGAACCCTCTCCACGTCATCTGGAATCTTCATGTCTCCCAACTACCCCATGCCCTACTACCACAATGCAGAATGCTACTGGCTGCTGAAGTCAAGCCATGGAAGTCCATTTGAGATCCAGTTTGATCAGTTCCACTTAGAGGCACATCCACAGTGCCAATTCGATTATCTTGCTGTATGTAGAGGGCCTTATTTCCTTCATGCAGGTTGATCACAACAAAGTATAATAACAAAAATAATGCTGATGTGGGATAGGAGCTGTATTTGAGGACAGTGTGTTGGTTTTAACAGATTAATGTTAAAATAGATACTTTTTCATTAAATAGGAGGGAACATTGCATTACATTGTTTTCAAAAATATTAGATGCCTCATTCAGCTTGTCCTCCATTTTTAAAAGTAACAATGATCTGTTTTTGAAAGACCAGCACTCCTTTAGAGAAGAGCATTGTGCGAAATTGTCTAACATAGACATGCAGGTAGCAAAATTCTGATGATCATATTGGCTGGAAGAAATGCCACCAAAATGCTAAGAATGGCTGCTATTCATAGCGATATATAACTGCAAGCCTTGCTCATGGGAAGGTTGCTAGCCATGAGAAGTTTTTCTATTCAGGCAAGTGCTCCGTTTAGTAGCCACAACCTTTGTTCATGCTTTCAGCTGCTGGCACTTTTGGGCAGCCCTGCCCCATCTTTTGAGGTTCCATCCCCTTCATGGGTGATATTTTTCTCAATGATATCTGGACATTTTTTCCCATTAGGTTGCTCTCTAAGTCCCAGACATTCCCCCAAGTTTTTCATGAAGCTCCGGTCATTGTTTCTGGAGCTGCTTTCCTCTTAGCTGCTGATGCTAGTAGTAGGTTGCCACTAGTACTACAGTAAGGTGGGTTCCTCTTGTTGTCACTTTGAGTAGAGTCTGCTGCTGTTCAGCTCCTGTGCCTTCCTCTCCATCCACCATGAATTCCTCTCAAGTGTCCAATTTGTACATTCAAGCCAAACTTAAAAGGCACAGTTGAGTCCACAATTAGCACACAGGTCCATTTCTAATTGGGCCAACTGGTGTTGTGAGGTTTTCCCCAGTGGTCTGATCACCCCACATGATGACTGCTCAGCATCTATCATAGATTTCTCCATGGAAGGGCATGCTTATGGGTTCCCAAGGACAGGCTGGTTGAGAAGGATCACCTGTTTATACATACACAAAAAGGTTTTGTCCCTGTGTTCAACAAATTCTGGAATCCATTCTTCCTTTTAAGTTCATTTCCACAGAGACTTCTTTGTACCCGAAGGGAAGAAATATTATTTAGTCTGAGTTAAGATGAAGGTAAGTCAAAGGGAGCCTTGCACATCAGGCTGTTAGCAAAACATTTTAATGAATTAGAGGAACAAAGAGATAGAATTGCTTGGCAAGAAAACCTTTGTGTGTCCAGAGATCCATATTCAAAATGTTATATAAATATCCTAAATATTCTTCTTCTTAATCAGGGCCTTTTTGTACCCACTAGTGAATGCCTGCTTAAAAAAATACAAACACCTAAAAGCACTTTATTGTCATCAAAATGCAGAACATGCTGGCCACTTCAGTTGTTCCTCAAAACTAGATTAATGGGTATTTGAAGAGCCAGTATTAGGCTGAATCTGCTTTGAATAAGCAATTTGCCAAATGTCTGGGAGGGCCAACTTTTTGATGGAAGTTGCTTTTTTAGACATGAACAAAAATGGTTCTTCCATTTTTCGGCGTGCTATTTTTTTCTCTGATCTGTGGCTGCTTTGGCACCAACACTTTTAAAATTTAAAGACCTCTATCACTATTATCTTGGCCACATGGTTATTACATGCTGACATCGTCATGGCTCATGGACAATCAGGTTTAGTTATGGGACAGGAAGGTTGAGAGCAAATTAAGCCCTTCCTTGCTCTTGTGAGAGACAGAGAGGTCACATGTTTCTCTTGAGGTAAGGTACATCTGCTCCTTGTAATGCCATGCTGCTCAGGTGACTCCTTTGTAGGCAAAGCTTACATTGCAGGAAAGGCGTACTTCCTATATAGTCAGACTGCACTTACGTATGTGTGACTAATTGGGACAGAATGTGGATGAGGTTCCTCATTCAAATGTACATTCAGTGTGAACCCCTTTGAAATTGAGGGACTGAGATCGTGACCGTTTGGATGTACAGCTGGCTGGCTGGAAATATCACTTACCCCCCATTGCATTACTTTTATTGTGAATGCAAAAAGACAAATAGATTACCATCCAGCATGAATTAAATAACTGTCAGTGACTGGATGGAAGCAAAGGAATGAGGGCCAAAGCAAGGAAACATTGGCTTGTGGTGTAAATACACATCACTCATGAAATGCTCTCCTGTTGGGTACAATTTACCTTAAATGATTTTACTGCAAAGAGGTAGATATGGTCATATATCTTTCCTCTAACTCACATGTTGGCTCAACACTTTTTAGATGACTTCAATAGGATGATAGAGTGTCACTTCACATATCTGGACCATTGCAACACCTGGCATCAAAACTGATGTTATATATTAATACCTGCATGCCTACTTCAGAATACCATCAATGTCTCTGTTGTAGGATGTTTCCAGTTCTGGAATGACTGTGTCCTGATACAGTAACTTATATATTTGTTCATTTACTCTGTAGCCTTATGCCCACCTACTTGGAAAATAGCATTATTGGAATAAATGGGACTTACTTCTGCTTTTATAAGCTTGTGCAATAATGATACTAGTGACTGGTGTACTGCCAGGCAGAAAAGCAATATATTACTGTAGTCAATATGTGCTGATATGTAATAATTTCCAGATTTCTGCAATAATTGATATGTAATAATTTCTGAAATAACTACTACAACAAAACTTACAACGCCTTTCATGGTATCATGAACTAAATATGTCTCAATTCAGTCTTGTAGCACTGAGTTTAATCAGACCTGTATCAACTGAATGTAGGCAAAATTACAAATGCCACTATATGGTCATTGGGATGCATGTTTATGAAAATCATAGTAATCTCCCCTTTTTGTTCCAGCCTCCACTAATTACAAATGATTATTTAAACATTTTACAAAATTTTGTTTGCTAATTTTGTTTTTTTCCTTAATTATAGGTCTATGATGGCAACAGTACAAATGCTAGGATGCTGGGAAAATTTTGTGGCAATCAGATACCACCCACAATCCAGTCTACTGGGGATAGTGTATATGTAAAACTAAGGACAGATGGTTCTTTGAGAGGTGGAGGTTTCCTTGCTAATTATAAGCAGAGTAAGTTTAATCAATCTGACTTTGGTTTGTGACTCCATCTAGTAAACATTGCGTTCTTCATATATTCAGTATACCTTTTCCAGATTTTGTTGGAAGATCTTCTTCGCAGGAATGATTCAAGTGTGTAGATTACAAAAAGGAAAATGAAGATCTCAAACCCAACTCATGCAGTGACTATTGATAGATTAACCCTTCATGAGCAGGAGCATAGGACGCCAAATCACTCCAAATCCTGCCATTGATCAATTTAGTTTAGTAATCCGTACACTGACTGACACAGTGCAAGACAACATCATGTCCCAGCCAGTCCCAAGCATCCTAATCAAACACCTTTTGTGGGCCAAGCAAAAGATGTTTGATGCCTTTCTTTCGAAGAGTTTAGAGTGACATAGTGGTCATCTTCACCCATAACATCAACCATGTAGTTCTCAGATATACCTTTTAATCCTGATCAGGAACACAGGACTCACTATTCAGTTTTTAAATGTCACTATTCAGTTTTAAAATGTCTTTGTGTGTCTGTATCTGTGTGTGTGTGTGTCTGTGTGTCTCTCTGTGTCTCTGTGTCTGTGTCTCTCTCTCTCTCTCTCTCTCTCTCTCTCTCTCTCTGTGTGTGTGTGTGTGTGAAAGAGAGAGAGAGAGAGATGTCTCATTTTGTTGCCTCATAAGCCTTTGGGAAGAGTTCTCACAATTACTTAAGGTTCAGACACCCTAAAATCAATAAAGTAACTCTTCAATTTACAGCGGTCTGCTGCTGCTAATGTTCCAGAGACATTATTCCAGCAGAACCTTGTGCCATA